AGATTGTGAGGGACAAAAAGAAGAAGTTCTTGGGACTGTCATAAAAAGGATACATTGAAAGAGTCTTAGCAAGATTCAACATGGAAGAATGTACCAAAGCTGATGTACCTGTCAATAAAAGGGACAAGTTTTCTCGAGAACAGTGTCCAAATAATGAGTTAGAGAAGAAAAAAATGGATATGAAGCCATATGCTTCTTTGGTAGGCAGTTTAATGTATGCAAACATTTGCACAAGACCTGATCTTGCGTTCGTTGTTGGTCTACTGGGAAGGTTTCAGTCAAATCCTCGAGAAGCACACTGGATAGCTATGAAAAAGGTTTTGAGGTATTTATAAAAGAACAAAGAGTTTCATGCTAGTATGTGGTAGAGAAAATGAATTAGAGCTTATTGGTTACACTGACTCAGATTTGGCTGGGGACGTGGATGAAAGAAAGTCGACTGAAGGCTATGTTTTCATGCTCAATAGATGAGCCATTTCATGGAAGAGTGCCAAGCAAACTGTGATTCTACATATACTATGGAAGTAGAGTTTGTGGCATGCTTTGAAGGCATGAAACAGGCAGTTTAACTTTAGAACTTCATCAATGAGTTGAAGATTGTAGATTCAATTTAGAAACCGATTAAGATGTTTCGTGATAATAGCTATGCAGTGTTTTTCTCGAAGAACAACAAAAGAACTTCAGCTTCAAGGTTGATGGATGTGAAATTCTTGAAGGTTAGGGAAAAATTAGACAGGGTGCAATTATAGTAAGGCATTTGACTATTGATTTGATGATTGCTGATCCTCTAACAAAAGCTTTGCCTATGGTATTTTCAAGTCTCATGTTACTCGAATGGGAATGTTGGAAGCTTTTCAAAAGTGGGAGTAATTGCTGCTGTAGTAAGAGTTTTATTAGAGCTATTGGAAGATGGCAGTGGATTACTTTACAAGGAAAGCATTCTGCAAGAATTTTCTGAAAGCTAAGTGTTTTAGTTAGCTATTCTTGTTTGTTTTATTTGTAGTTAGTTATGATTTTGTTCAATACAATTTTTCCACATGTTTCTGTGATTATTGTTCTAGAGAATAAATTTTCAATTCAATAAGAGTTTGTGAATCATTTAAAGTACTAATAAAGCTGTTGAATGTGTCATAAATGTGTTGTTCATCTGGTAGTGAATGATTTTGAGTTAACAATTTACTGTTAAGACTGATAGATATTTTTTATATCGATTTTGGGCTATGTGAGTGGGAGTATACGTTTTGGTTTACTCTTGTATTGAGATGCATTGCTATAAGCATAAACTAGACATTGTGATTTGTAAGGTGATTTTGTATTCTGTGTTACAAAGGAAATTACAAATTCATTGTTTTGGTTTGTGTAAGCTGGTTGTATCTGTGCACTGGTGTAATTGATAAAAGATTTGTGTGATCACCTTTATGATAGTTTGAGATGATTATCTGTTGTGATGAATCGTACTCAAGTGGGAGAATGTTAAAGTATGAGTATGATTCTTGCATGTCTTGGGATAATTAACATTATCATAAAGAAGTCTTAGTCATGTTAGCTAGAGTAAATCTTATTGTGATTGGGATATTGAGAACTCTTGTATTTGCACAAGTATAAAACTCATTCTAGTAGGAGGAATAATATTCCTTATTGGATTGTAATAGGGCAATTTGTGGATTAGTATATAAACGTAAGCCACTGTTCTCACAAACAACGCTCTCACTTTCGAACCAATAACCTATTCTTGGGAGAGCATTGAGGTTTGCAGAGAAGAGAAGGTTGTGTGCAAGGAAAGTCATGGCTTATACCTCAACAAATATGTCTGTAGGTTAGTTCTCTGTCATATGTGGTTTATCCTTTGTTCTTCATATGCAAATCAATATTGTAATTTAATTGCTTGATTTTTGGTTCTTGGGTTGAGACTTATATTGTTTTAGTTGTCTCAATTTCACTCTTACACCTTCCACTACTATAACTTTGAACTTGATGAACACGTCCTGACGCAACATCATCCACATAATACAACCTTCTCCTCTTAGTACCATGTCCAATGATCGCCCGAGTTCGAATATCCTAAAGTAGACAGAAAGTGGGAAACATTAGCACAACACAGTTTAATTGCTCAATGACTTGGCCTACAAATAATAAATTACTGGAGAGTGAGGGTACAAGCAAGCAATTTTGTAAAGAAAGATTAGAGGTGAGTGCAATAGAACCCGCCCCTATAACCGGCGCAATACCCCCTGTTTGCCGTGATAATGCTATTCCTTAGTGGTGGTACCATAGAGTTGAAGAGGGTTTAATCGTAAGTCATATGATCGGTGGCTGCTGAATCAATGATCCAACCTGTATCATGATTAATGGAAGCAATTAAGGCAGTACTCATATTACTTGGGTCATCGGAATTGTTTAACGAGATCATATTTAAAAAGGATAGTTGCTGCCCAATACTATCCTGATCCAAAAACTGCGCTGATTCCTTGGGCTGGTTTTGGACCATGGTGATGTGGCCCATTGCTGCATCTTGAATTTCATGCCCATCCGGGTTTGATTTGACTATTCCCGGCCCACCATAGTGGGCTGCCATTGCAGCTAAGTTAGGATCAGGGTCGGCCTTCCTTGTTTGGGCTGGGCGTTTGCTTGATTTCCCTTTGATTTGTTTTCCCTATTCCATGAACCATTCAGGGTATCCATGAATTTCGAAACAAGTATCTTTTGTATAACGAGTGCCATTGCAATGAAAGCATTGAAGCTTGTCTTTTTTAGCATTTTCCAAATCCCACAGTGAGTGTGATGGACCTGGGAATGGTTTACTAACCATGGCCACATATGGACCATTGTCAGCATCCTTATTGCTTAGCATAGTGGTTTTTCGTTGTGTTTCTCGCCGAATGGTGTTGATGCACTCTTCTATTCCAGGGACAGGTTTTAATCGAAGAAGCATGCTCCGTACCACATCCAATGAGTCATCGAGTCTCGCAAGAAAGTCGTACACCCTGTTTTTTTGAAGATCTTCCTTCCTACTTTTCAAGCAGGCTGCACACACCATCTTGTTGGGATGTTGTTTGTCCATCTCCTGCCACGCTTTTCAGTTTTGCAAAATAGATGTTCACTGGACGTCCATTCTGCTTTGTTCTTGTTGCCTTGCATTGAAGCTCATAATATTGGGATTTGTCTTCCCGTCATAGAACATCTGATTGACGCTCTCCCAAATATCATGTGCCATTGGTAACTCAATGAATAGCCCTAACAGATGTGGTTCCATAGTTTTTAGCAACTATCCTCGGACAATTGCATCCTCAGTATGCCACTTCATAAACCCAGGTTCTGTTTCATCCACTGTCGAAGTCTTCCCATTGAGATAACCCATCTTATTTAATCCTTCTGCATGAACTTCCATCATCTTCGACCAAATTTTATAGTTCGAATCATTTAGTTTGAATCCGAGACTTGGAGATTCATTTGTACCAGAAGCCGAAGCCCCTACGGGAATAATTGCTACTTCTGCAGCCATCACAGTAGAAAAGTGTCTTTTTTGTGTTTCTGATTTGGGGTGTTTTGCAAGTGAGTCCCTTTTTGTCGGGACACAGCAGCACACACATATAATAGGTTTAGGATTGGAGAAAGATACCATGTCGAAAACCTGGTTCTAATGCTAAGATAACTTTGATTGATTCTTATTCTCATCTCTCCAATATGGAGGGAATATATATACATCCACACCTTGCGGTACAAGGAATAATAATAAAGGAGTTTATGCTAAACTAGGAAGGAATCCCTTTAATCTAGGAAACCAAATTACATTCCAATGCTGATTGATTTATATGACTCACACGTCAACGCCTTTGAGTTATTTCTTGGGAGTTGAAGCCACATATGTTGGTGATCACATGCACCTGACGCAGACCAAATATGCCCTAGACTTTTTAGCACGCACAAAGTTTACAGATGCCAAACCAATTTCTACTCCAATCCCTGCAAGTCACAAGTTGAGTGCTTATGTTGGTGATCCATACAAAAATCCAAAACAGTACAGAAGTGTTGTTAGAGCCCTACAATATTTAACGATTACCTAAGAATACTCATTGGATGGCAATGAAATGCATCTTGCGTTACTTGAAAACGTCATTGGATGGCAATGAAACGCATCTTGCGTTACTTGAAAGCAACTTACAATCATGGTCTTGTATATGAACCTGGAGGAATGCAGTTAAACGCATTATCCAATGCAGATTATGCAGGTAATCCGGATACCCGTCATTCCATTGGAGGTTTCTATGTTTATTTGGGACAAAACTTAATCTCCTGGAGCTTGAAGAAACAGAAGACTATCTCCAGGTCGAGTACAGAAGCCGAGTATAGGCAACTGGCCTACACAACAGCAGAATTGTCTTGGTTAAGGTCGGTGTTCAAAGATCTTCACTTGCATCTTCTGAGACCACAAATATGGTGTGATAATGTTTCCTCGATCGCCTTAGCCTCTAATCCAGTTTTCCATTCCCGAACGAAACCCTTGGAGGTTGATTATCACTATGTTTGTGAAAAGGTGATTCGACGAGAGCTTCAGGTCAATTTCATTTGTTCTCAAGATCAAATTGCGGATTTGTTTACGAAGGGTTTGTCTTCATCACGTTTCAAGCTCTTGGTATCCAAGCTTCCAGTTGTTGCACGACCTGTCAGCTTGCCGGGGGATGTTAGACCGACTCAGGCTTATCCACAATCCAGCTCGTGTTTGAATTCTTCGAACTCATCTGTTAGTCATTCTAGATTGGAATCCTTATCGGAGGATAAGTCCGTTAGATCTAGGTCTCATTTAAATGTTTAAAGTGTGATTGCTGTTGTAATATTTGAAATTCAAAATGTCAGTGTAAATAGGGTTCTTGATAACGCCTGGTGTAATCTACGATTGAGTATAAATATATGCAACCCAGCACATTGCGGGTATGCAAAACTGAACTGAAAAACTCGAGTTCTAAGTGTTACAGAGGGATCAGAATTGCACGACTTTTAAGTGGCTCACAACCTGTAAGTGCAACAAATTTATAGACGACATAATGGATAAAATTTAAAGTAAAAACATAATGGATAAATCATTCTGAAAATAGAAAATGAAATGCTTAGTTGGGAAAAAGCGTGGAGAGGAATCATATCTGCCCACAACTCATAACTACTCATTTGTTTCATATATATACAATGGCTCCTTATAAAGATATCGATGGTGAAAGCCGAAACACCGCTGGATATAGGTGGTCTTCTAAAGAATTACTTCACACATTAAGACAGATAGGGAGCGAAAATGAATAAGAACACCGTGTGCACAACCACGTTTGAGTTCAGAAACAAGCTGCTCGTTGAACCCTTTTCCTATTCCTTTGGTCTAGACGCTGAAGTCGCTTCAGAATGGTTTTCCCCAACAATCGGTTGCGCTTTTGTTTCCTCTTTCTTCTTTGCTTCGACCTCTTTGAGGTCCAAGAAGCTCGGCTGATTGGTCGATGACAATAACCGCGCCCACATTCTGTCAGTTATCACAACCTTGTTCTGCCCCTGGGTCACCCGCTGTGCATGAAAGAACAATCAACTTGAGCATACGACTCAATCACAAACAATGACAATTTATGGTAGTACACGAAAAGAGAAGTTCTCATGCACATCAAATAAATGTAAATTCTATTTTTTGCCTATGTTTTTGCATCACTTGCTTCATATTTCCTGTCGTATTGGCATATTAAATTTTATAGGGGAATGTAACAGCCGAGTTTCCCCACTAATGAATCATATGCTTCCCTTCTTTTACTGAAACCAAGAGTAACTTACATGGAACGGAATGTAAGCATGCCTTCTGTTAACAGGGCCGACAGTGAATCCCGTGTATCCAGCCATCGCACCATGAATGGCACTTTGAGCAAGGAGGGTGCTATATACATTATCAGATGCATTGCTTGGAATTGCACGGATCATATAAGTGGGATCTGCCAGAAATGCACAGCTATTGTTAGGTTATATAAGTTGTACCACCTGGCTGTACGATGAATATCTGTAGAATCAGACAAAAAAAACCAACACTCCACAATCCCACGAAAGACAATGCTTCAGTAAGACGAACCTATGTATTTGAGATTTATAGTCATCTTTCTCTGTTTCGAGAAGTGATCCTACAAGAACATATTCAAAACCAATATATATGGTAAGAAGTGGCATACCCAGAGTCAAGTCACTCAAAATTGTGACGATAAACAATAGCATATGATGTCGACATCATCCAACAAGTAGGCCACATTGCTTTTTGTATGATGTATAAGACCTTGTAATTTTCAAATTTGACAAAGGATGCAAGCAAATCCTCAGAGCACCACCTTCTGGTTATACTAGGACTACTTTTTGGCTGACAAAGATAAAGGGACTGATCGGAAACTGACAATTTATTTGCTTGAGATTGAAAGTGTTTTCTAATGGAGACAATACAACAGAAAACAAGGGAGAAAGGCTACGGACATGCTTACAACAGAAAAAGTGTAAAAAACAGGCAACCACACAAACAAGGGAGGAGGAACAACATTTCTGAAATCAGGCATAGAAATATTGCTAGCATCTTACCCTAATATTTTGCGATAACCACAGACCAACATCTTGGAGAAGCTTATTTCCGGAAGCATCCTGCTGGTTCATGCTTTCAGAAAGAAGCTCTTGTCCTGCACCTTCGGCTATTACTATAACCATGTGACCATTCTCCTTCAGTCTTCTTTCAATATATTCATAAAGTCCACCTGGTCCTTCCATATAGAAAGGCGATTCTGGAATCAGACAACAGTCTACGTCTCGGCTAGCAAGAGTAGCATACATTGCTATGAATCCTGTGTGACAAGAGAGATTCAGAATAAGAACTACGTAACAGTGACTGTTCCACGGTCTACCACACAGTCTCATCAATGGGTGTACATAGTCACAGGTAAAGGAAATTGAAACCCATGTACACATCTAGTCGACATGCAGAGGGCACAGTTAGTACACAGTTAGTACACGTGACTGTTCAGGGAGAATCAAATCAATTGGAGAAGTAAGAGAGCTGATAGTGACCTAATATCACCACACTGGAAGCCTTTTTTCACATTATCTTGTGTGTTTTACTCAAAAATCAAATAATTTTAAGATTATAGAGGAATACACTTTACCACTATAGCGGCCCATTAACTTGACGACGCCGATACCATTCTCAATGCTTCCTGCTTCAACATGGGCTGCACTAATGGCTCGCTGAGCCTCCTCAACAGCAGTGTCGAAACCAAAAGATTTGTCTATAACCTAAATAAAAGCATGGAATCCAAAATTAAGACTGCTTCCAAGAGTGAATGCTATATTTAGATCAAATACATCAGACAAGTCATGCATGGGATAAGGGAGTACCGGAATGTCATTATCGACGGTTTTTGGAATTCCTGCCACCGCTACTTTGAGGCCACGCCTTCTGATTTCCTGCATAGAATAATGGCAGGTAAATAACTCGTAATTGCGCTCAACTTACTTATAATTTCATCCCATATTGTTGCCCAACACGCTCAATGTTGTAGAATCTTCCAAACTGAATTACCTCAAAAATCACCGAAGCTCCTCTCTGAGTTCCGTTTCCCCCAAGTATATAAACCTGACGTGCATAAACAGAGGTAAGTCCATGCACAAAAGTTTTTTGGAGAAAGCAAAGACAACATAAAATGAAATCTGAAAATCTAGAGTAAGATAAGTAATATCGACCTGATTAATTCCTCTGTCCTGGATGCTGTCCACAATCTTTGAGGTATCATGCCCGCCTCGTGATGTCCCAAGGATGGTGCCACCACTTTTATGGATGTCATTCACAACCTTTGCCGTTAAGGGGATTGTATTTGCGGCATAAAACCCTCTGTATCCACCCTGCATGGAGAACATTTACTTGCTGAGTTCATGACACTGTTCAACCGTACGACAAAAGATTATGACGAAATTGAGGGCCAAATTATCCACCAATAGGCCTAAAAGCAGCCCACCGATATAGAATGAGAGGGTGGGAACAAAATGATTCGGAGGTTGAAATTGTCATTGAATACATGTCAAATATGCCTTACTTCTATTCCGAGAATTCTTTTGACACCATACATGTGGTTCAGCCCGCATACTATTTCTCTAATAGCTGTATTCAGTCCTGGACATAGACCACCACATGTCACGACACACGCATGCACTTCACTTGACTCAAAATACACCTGCGAAATATCCAATTGCATGTCATTTGTCTGGAATATATAATATAAGGGCAATAAATAGAGGGAAAAAAATTCGGAATGTAAAACCTTCTGACGTGGTCCAGAGCGTCGGAAGTGCGTCCCCCTCGGACTATCCTTGTGGATAACAATCTGTACAGAGAAAAACGTCCGCATTGACGAAATTGTTAAACATTGAAGTCTTCATATCGCACTGAATATTACTCACCTTTTGGGCAACGGTATCATCCGCATTGACGAAATACTGCCTGGTCAATAGCAAGATCAGTTTTGCGAATTATCAAGATCACAACGAAATGAGTCGTACCAAATGCATTTGCCGTAAATGTGAAGCTAAGTAGCTGAAAGTGTCAAACTTACTTGACACCCGAATAGGAGGGATTGTCTTGTAATGGATTGGGATACGTCTGCAAATTGCCATAAAACGTATGAAAACTTCAATGTTAGATTTCGTTTTCCCTTGCAGCAATTTTAGTAGCTAATGTTAAGCACAATTTTTAGAAACACAATTTATAGAATTTGTTATTCACGGATAATTAAAAATTGGTTTCAAAAATATTTTCACCAAAATACTTTCAATCATTTTGAAAGAACTTCCAAACCAGCCCAAAGTTTTTCACTCTTCGACAAGCACTCCAACCACGCTCTAATTATCATCACTATTTTTGAGTAAATCGAACCTAAGATAATGTTAGTAATAGTAGTTTAACAATATCCTCTTAGCGTTTGAATCTCAGAGTTTGCGATCAATTTATTCTCCACTCGTTAGCGTAAATATATCGTTGTATAACAACGATGTCATCCTAGAACAACTAAAGACAAAACAATCGAGAACCCCATTTCTGTTTACTGAAGCAACAATTAAATCTCAATAAATAAATTACATGGAAAATCAGATTAGTTAAAACTTAAAAACGCAACTTAAACAAGTTCCAGAAAGAACAAAAAAGAAAAAGAAATCAAAGCTCTTTGTACTGGATCAGACATTCAGTCATCCCAAAACGCCGCGTTTCAGTTACCACTTAATACGAGGAAAAATAAAAAAAGCAACCACCACCGCAACACCAAACATGCAAAACACCAACCAGAAGAAGAAAAACAACAACAACAACAAGATCGCATGTTTTTTTAGCAGCTACAATTATTAGATTGTTATTTTCTCACAAAAAAAAAAAACAATCAAAGTATATATACAAGTAGCATATATAGTACTATAACACTGATAAACTGAGTAGTTTTTCTGATCATCCAAACAGAGCATTAAGAAAGAGAAAAGTACGTATAAGTAGCAGGGGAAAGAGAGAGAGAGAGAGTTACTGGGAGATCGGGGATGTAATCAACTAAGTGAGGAACATCTTCGAGGACGTAGCCGCAGGGGCCGGTGGCGGTTTTGGGCTCGGAGTTGTCGGAAATTGCCATGCTGCCACTGGAACGGTCGTTGGGAGTGGAGGCGGGGAAATATGGAGGGTGATCGGGAGTCGCAGGGTAAGAGTGGTCGAAGCAGCGGAACCTGGAACTGGAAATTGCCGTATCTCGACTACAAAAATGTAATGAGACAGCAGGGCGTATTTGTAGCCGTTGATGTTGATTAATCAGACAGCTCCCACCTGTTGACTTGGAAAATTTACCTTTTTTTACTGCGGCTTGTTTAATGTGAATTTCTTTGGGAAGAATTTAGAGAGCTGTATTCAATTGAGAATTTGAGAGACTTTAATGAATTTATAAATCTATGAATTTTTATGGAGTTTAATTGATTTGTAAATATTTCATATAAAATTTTGATTCAATTCCCTTGAAACCTTATAGAGAGATTTGAGATTTGTAGATGCTTGAAATACATTACGAAATCTCTTCAATTCCCTCTAATTCTTCAACTTTCTCAAATTCTTTAAAATCAATTTTGAATTGAATACACATAAAATGTATAAACTTCTTTAAAATCCTAATTGAATACACCCGGATTTCTAAAGATTTTAATAAACTATCTTAAAATTCTAATTGAATATAACTTAAATTTCAGAGAATCACTTAAAATCCTGATTGAATACTTATAGATTCATTAAAAGAATTAAAATCTCTTAAAATCCCAATTGAATATTAGAGAGTTTGAAAGATTCAAGATCATTTTTTGATTTATTTCTAGGTTCAAAACTTGAAATATGTTTAGCATGGATGGGTTTGTCAATTCACATCTAAGTGCCTACTTTTTCTTGGTCGAAATTTATGTCCCTACTTATTATATTAATAATAATGATGGACTGATTTTTTCTAGAGAGATTGTTATGAAACTGGTTTATTATTATTTAAACGTTTTATTTTATAAATTAATATAATTTATGCAATGAAAGTATTACACATTTTTGTATTAGTGGCGTAAGAAGTTACAAATTAATATAATGTTACTGAGTGGAAGTATTACACACTTTTGTATTCGTAGCATAAGAAATTACAAATTAATATAATGTTATGCAGTGAAAGTATTATACATTTTTATATTATTGACATAAAACGTTACAGTGGTATTGAATGCTTTTCACCAAAGCATATCTCCTTTCTTGGTAACTTGTATTTAAATTATCTATGTAGTAGGTTCTACACTTTACTAAGATTTATCTTAAAACTGCTTTAATCTAAACTGGACCGTGCCTACTCTTATAAAAAAAAAAGGAAAAGAATCATAGCCTAATCCTTTTTCTAGAGATCCTAGGGCCCGAAATTCAGACCGTCCCTCGTATATCGTGCGTTAGTTTTTGTTAGGTATTATTCATATTTAATTTTAAATTTTACATTTTAAAATGATTTCTTCTAATTACACGATATACTATGGACGGTCCGGATCACGGAATCCCTAAGATCCCAAAAAAAAAATTCGACAAGTATCATTTTCCCTAAAAAAAGGGTATAAATTGAGATTCAAGTACTAATATAAAGCTCTTAAATAGATATATTGTAACGTATGGTGGTGAACTTGACACTTGTTCCCCAATATATAATTTATTTTGTTGTAATCAGGTTTAGAGATTTAATTAAAAACTGTTGTTAGATGAAGTTGGGGAGCTTAACTATGGAGGCAGATTCTCTGCCCTTTTACTTTCGGTGTCCTTCTGTTTTATGTGGGTCAATATTTTATATTATTGTTTTTATAGATATAATAAGATAAAAAAAATAGTAATATAAAATGTTGACGTGATTTAATCGTGACCACACAAATGGAAGAGTACGAGATGACACGAAAAGTGAGAGGGCAAAGAATCTGTCTCCCTTAAATAATTGTATAATGACATGATATTATATTCTCTACCATCATTACATTCATGTGGTTGCAGTTCATCTGTCTAATAAAAATTTTCGAACTACATGTAAGATAAAATTTATACTGTTGGAGTTTTGACACTTCAAAGTGAAATATCTTGGAGCCCTGTGATAGTCTTTCGCTTTCATCTTTCAGCTTTTAGTATTTATCATTCATTTTTTTAAACTACCAACTGTAAATTTATTTGGTAATTATTTTTAATTTTCAATTTTATTTTTAAATTGAAAGTAGCAACGAAAAAAGTTTTCAATAAAAAAAAATTAAGCAGTTGTAAAATGACTCTATAATCTAGATGAGTTTAGTTAGATTTGAATGCAATAAATATATGTATCTAAACTACATGTTAATAGGATCATTTTTGTCAATTAAAAAAGGGTAAAAAAATTATTTAGTCAACTATCACAACAAAAAATTAAGGACAGCAATGTAATTTCAAAAAATAAAATTATATCATTTTTTATTTAAGTATCACCTACATATGATTTTAACATTTCTAATTAATTTTTTTTAAAAAAAAAATTAACCTCTATCGCTCCATTATTAAACGAATTCATTAGAAAAAAATGCAACCATTAAATAGTTCAAATAAATACATTAGCTTATATTAATAAAAAAAAATTAATTGGCTACCATCGAAAAGAGAAAAACAATTTGGAAGCAGCCCAAATGAATATGGCGCTGAATATGGCCAGAAAAGAAGACGAAAAAAGCTGCGGAATCATTCACTTGATTGGTACCATAAATTTATACCATATTTCTTTACCATTTTGGGTGGGTTGGACAAGTTTCATCATTTAATTTCAATTTTTTTATTAATTAAAACGTTTAAATAATCTTAGGTGACAGAAGAAGACTCTTCGTATATCACAATCATCATTTAATTAACAATCTTTTTATTAATTATTGATCAACATTTTGAAATTAAATGCTAATTAATTTAGATGATATGATTGTCCACATCATATGCCACCTAAGGTGGTATACAATTGTGGTACAAAAATATGGTAAGAATAGCATTATTGTTAAAAATTAGTAAAAACATAACAAAGTAGCTGCTGTGTAAAAATCATATATGGGTGTGATTGCTTCTCACTTAAAATTAACCATGGGCTTACTTTTTGAGTTTCTATATACAGTCCTTACATTTGTTGATTGTTTTTAGGTATTTGGAGAATTTCTGTGTGTTGGAATACTTTGAGGACTTCTATTTCGATCCATTGGAAGTCTATTGTCCATTTGTTTAGAGACTATACGGTTGTAGGGATTAGGGACTCCATTTAGGGTCTCCATATCCATCTCTTCCTCTCTCCTTCAATTTAAAAAATAAAAATAAAAAAATATTTCACACACATTTTATGTGTGGGCATATACTAGTATATATAATATTTGACATTTTTTTAGGGATGCTCTAAGTGCTAATCGGTGACATCCAAATGCATGCCTGTGAGTTTGTTCGTAGCTCATGTGCAAATCCCTTCAATTCGTTCGTTTTTAAATAAATAAATAAATAAAAGTCTCTAAATAGGTTAGCAAAGCAAATCATTTTGACGTGTGACGTTGGTGGTGTCCGCATGGGCAATGGCTTTTGTCGACTTTGGATGTCGGCATAGAAAAACAAGCAGGGGAAAAACAAAAATGTTCCAATCGAATCAACCATACAAAAGTTTGTTGGGTATTGTCTTCTTTTTACTTCAATGTCCTATTTTTCTTACACCTACACTATCAATCGTGCACATAAATATTTTGAGCAGATTCTATAATCGGACAAAAAGATATTTGCACTTCTGTTACAATTTCTTTACGGTCATAGAAAGTGCATAGGCTTAATAATGAGGGTTAGAGCTTGTTTGTGAAATATTTTTGTACAAAACACTTTTTCTGCGCATAAGCTTATGGCTTTTTTTCTTTCATAGAAATGATAATCCATTATCATAAACAAGAGTACATAAAAGGGTCCAATTACACAAGGAGACAGGTGAGTGGTGTGTGGATTCGGTTTAGGCAAGCGGCAGTGAGAGGAAAGGGGAGTAAGCAAGCTTCAAGTTAAGCACAAATAAAATATATCTACCAACCAAGCAACAACATGAAGGCCCCAAACAGAAGAACAAACTTGAGGAACCCTACTATTCCTACATCGCAAGAAACGATGCCGCCATCAGCAATCAAGAGAGACGTAAAGAACAAGTCTCGACAAGAGATCCATAGAGGATAGGGTTATAGCTTTGTACTCCAGCCAACCCGCGTCATTCTCAATAGATTAGAGAAATGGCCGAAAGTGACCTTTGATCCACTTGACAGACCACTGTAGACTCAAAGTCCACAAATGTGGTGGTAAGGGTGGGGTTGAGCAGTAGCTGCAATGAAGCATAAATTGAAAATATTGGGCATGAGATTTGAGAGATGAAAGAAAGGAAAGAGGTAAAACATGTGTTTTTTTTTTTTTGTTGGGGGGGGGGGGGGGAGGATGGGGGGATGGGGAGGGTTGAGTGAAAGAGTATGGCACATCATCCAAATATGAGATACTCGCTCTTAACAATTGAGACAAGAGCTAAGAAATTGCAAACCAGAGGGGTAGCCGCTGACCCCAACAATTGTTAGGCCGACGGCAAGGGGAGCTTTGCATGACATTGAGGTTACTGAAAATGCACCAATAACATGCCTTCTAGGTGATAATCATTATGACGTCTCTGTTAATTTTTATATTTTGATATTTTAAATGTATGATTTTAGAGATCAATTTAATGTTATGCAATAAAAAGTGTTGCATATTTTTTTGTATTAGTAGCATAAGACATCGTGGTGTCGTTGAATGTGTTCCACTGAAGCATGTCTCCTTCTTTCTTAGTAACTTGTATTTAGATAGATTATCTATGTAGTAGGTTCTACAATTTTACTAGGACTTTTCTTAAAACTGTTTTATTCTAAACCGTGCCCACTCATATCTAAACAGCGTATAAATTGAGATTCAAGCACTAATATAAAGCGCTTAAAAATATATTGTAACATAAGGTGGTGAAGTTGACACTTGTTTCCCAATACATAATTTATGTTGTGGTAATCAGGTTTAGATATTTAATTAAAAGAAAAACTAATAAAAAAGATTTGAAAATTTTGAGTTTTAACGATAAAGATAAAATGAATAAAACCAAGATTAATTTTTTAATATAAAAATATGATTTTTCGTTAAAATAAATAGTATTAATAACTTTTTATTAAAATTTCTTTAATTAAAAAGTTGTG